TTAACATAATAGGAAATAAAAAATAATAAAATAAATCATTGGATTTTAACATAATAGGAAATAAAAAATAATAAAATAAATCATTGGATTGAGACATAATAGGAAATAAAAAATAATAAAATAAATCATTACCTATTGCCTAATGGTGCGTCCGGCACCAACTCTCATCTTTAACCTTCCTCTTTGGTTGAAGTCTTGGGATACGCTCCCAAACCCATAACTGAAATTTTAAATTAAATAGAAAAGGCACAAATTAGGAAAACAAACAAAAATATAATAAAAAAATATAAATAAACAAAGAAACACAAAAATTCACCTGCATCAGCATATAACATCCGGTAATGTCTTTTTTCCCGGGCGCGGAAGCTTGACACAGAGCAAAGTACAACTTAGCTAAAACAGCTGACCCCCAACTGTAGGTAGCACAGACATCCAAATCCTCGAGTATTGTCAGGATCCAAAGTGGTATTCTGTTTCCCGTATTGTCAGGAATCAAGAAACCTCCAATCGTAGTAATAGTGAATGCACGGGCCCTCGTGTATAGGCTTCTCTTGGGGCATTTTCTGGGATCGGACGCAGACACTCGTTGATTAAACACTCTACATAAATCTTATTCCCATCAAACATGTCACTAACGGGTGTAATTCCCAACAATCTAAAGCACAATGCCATTCACTGTGCCATAGAATTCTCAGGTGTCATCCCCTCCACAGGCTTACCATCCACTTTCAACCCTAATAACACCTCAACGTCTTCTAGAGTGATAGTGGCCTCGCCAAAATGAAAATGAAATGTATGAGTTTCAGGCCTCCATCTCTCAACCATTGCGGTGATCAAACAATTGTCCGCTTGTATATAACCTAGTTGGATCACCCCCCCAAAGCCTGCCCGCCTTATCTCATCTATGACTTGTGGAGGGCAATGCCGGGATGGTTTCTCTATACAAGTCCAAAAATGACTATCAAATCTCCTGCCTTTAAGGGCTTTACTAAAAGCCTCATGGTTCTTGAAAATGGCTTTCGCCCTATGATGGTCATATAGGTATAATAATGAGTCATCTATTGGAGCCGGATTAAAATGTTGCAGTGTGGGTTGTGAGGAACTCGAACCCTCCATATTTTAATCCTATAATACCAAATACTATCAATACCAATACCAATACCAATATCAATACCCATATCAATACACACACACCAATACCAATATCAACACACACACACACAGTGCCGGCACACACACACACACACACACACACAGTGCCGGCACACACAGAGTGCCGGCAACACACACACACACAGACAGTGCCGGCACACACAGAGTGCCGGCAACACACACACACACACACACACAGTGCCGGCACACACAGAGTGCCGGCAACACACACACACACACACAAAGGTGCGGCACACACACACACACATACAAAGGCCGCGGCAACACACACACACACACACAAAGGTGCGGCACACACAGAGTGCCGGCAACACACACACACACACACACAAAGGCCGGCAACACACACACACACATACAGTGCCGGCACACACAGAGTGCCGGCAACACACACACACACACAGTGCCGGCACACACAGAGTGCCGGCAACACACACACACACACACAGTCACACACACATTCACACAGTCAGACACACACATTCACACATTGCCGGCAACATCCACACACACACATCGCCGGCAACACACACACACACACACCCGGCAACACACACACACATTACCTAAATCAAAATGAAAAAAATGGACAAATTACCTGAGGAATCGCCGGGGAAGAGAATCGAACAAAAGGGAAATCGCCGGGGAGGGGAATCGCCGGGTTTGGGGGAATCCGACCTTGAGGAAAAATCCGACCGGGGAGGGGAATTCAGGTTTAGGGTTGGAGAAGAAGGGGGAGTCGATTTTGACTCCCCCAAATTTTGGTCAACCGGTTAAATACTCGTCAACAATCGGATTCGTCAAATCCGATTTATTCATTGAGAAACAAGGTCGGATTTTTTAAATCCGACCTTGGACAGAGAGTTACGAAGTTGGTTGCAAATTTCACCAAAATCCGACCTTCTGAGTGAACAGTGCATAAATCGGATTCAGGAAATCCGACTTTAGATAGAGAGTTACGAAGTTGGTTGCAAAATTTCACCAAAATCCGACCTTCTGAGTGAACAGTGCATAAATCGGATTCAGGAAATCCGGCTTTATGCCTAGATCGGATTTTGAAAATCCGATTTTCCTTTGAACTCGGATTCAGAAAATCCGGCTTTATGCCTAGATGTGATTTTGTATTTCGGATACACAAGTACTAATATCAAACACAATAACAATATATTAACTAAACTAATTCATTAAGCCTCATGATTCAAAAGAAATACAACATAAACTCCAAATCGAACAAACTAAAGTATAAATATCAAAAGTTTCGAGACATGAAACATTGTGAAACAAAACAATCCTAGTCGTTGTGAATACCATCGGCGTCCCAATTGATCTTGAGCCTTGTCCTATCGGATTTCTTGTGTGATTTTGGGCACGCATTGGTGAAATGATTCCTTGAGCCACATCTCAAACATTCACCCCTCGATTTGCGTCCCCTATAATCCATTTGCATTTTAAATCTCTTCTTTTGCCAACGACCGGGTCCAGCATGCATAATAACTCGCTCGTAGTTAGGAACGAGTCTCCATCCAACCTTAGGCCATCTTCTCATATCAGCGACCGGGGAAAAGTCATCGCGCCCACTGAATTGGTCTTGCCAAGCAACAACCCTGAAATATGGATTCACCGTATTGATTGGTTGATCTTTTATCTTCCGACACACAGCTAGTGCATGTGTACAAGGGAACCTATACTCTTGCCACTTCTTGCAAGAACACTTCTTCTCTTCATATTTCACAGTGTACGTGTTATCCCCTTTACCACCAAGTCGGGCTCTACTTTTCACCTTGAACTTGCCATTAATAGCACTATAAAGGTTGACTTTGTGTTGCGCGGCTTTCTTTTCTTTTTTCTTGAAGTCTTCCCATAAGTCAGTTGGGACCGGAGTAATACATTTCCTCGACTTCACGTATTCTTCCTGGAACAAATCCACAGTCTTAATAAAAGTAGCTTCCACCAAAGCCCGGATTGGCAAGAAACGAACGCCCTTGAGGACGTTGTTGTAGCTCTCAGAAATGTTCGTTGTCTGGTTACCCCAACGATAGTGTTTGTCTTTGGCAAGAGTCCACTGACAAGCATCAATCTCCTCGAGATACAAATAAGCATCATTGCTAAAATCACGTAGCTCAGAATTTAGACTTAGAAAGTTTCGTGCCCATCTCCCAACACAACCTTTTGATCTTTTTACTTCGAAACTGCGCCACCAAGTTACTACGGACGTGACGAAGGCAAAACCGGTGGTATGCATTCCATTCGGGCATTAGGCGTATTGCACTGATGATACCCTTGTGCCGATCGGATATAACACACACAGGCCGGTCGGATATAACATGATTCCTCAAATGCTTCAAGAAGAATGACCAACTTTCCTCACTCTCTTCATCCACGATCACATATGCAATTGGCAGGATGCGCTTATTCGCAGTTTTGACCATTGCAGCAAGTAATTTACCTTTGTATCCGCCGCGCAAGTGCGTCCCGTCGATACTAATCACCGGAGGACATTTAGCAAAACAATCAATTGCAGGCTTGAATGCCCAAAAAATGTATTTGAACGTCCTCTCTATATCGGTCCAACCCCAATGTTGTACTGTTCTTAATTTTCAACTCTCCCGCCTGTATTTTTTTATGAAAATAAACAAGGTCGGATTCCTAAAATCCGACCTTTGACTGTTCTTTATTTGACTTTCAATACATTTTTCTCATATATATTTTCCGGAAATAAATATTGTTATTTTATTAAATCGGATTCTTAAAATCCGAACTACTAATTTAATTAGTAGGTCGGATTTTGAGAATCCGATCTCGACATTTTTCTTTACCAAAAAAGAAAAAATTATAGATCTCTCTACTCCTTTTTCTATCCCATTTTTTAGCCAAAGCACCCCTGTTGTCCATGAATTAGTTTTTATGCCAAAAATGATGCTCCGATAAATAATATATTTCCAACAACTAAAAAAATGTTTTTTTTCCTCTAAAAAAATTTAGATTTTATGTTTATATCGATCGACCTCCGTCCAACCAGATTTGGCTGGATTTTTCCTTAGTAAAATGTTCATTAGTTGAAATTTTTTCAATTTGATCCTTCGACGACGGTTAAATAATTTTATTTTTGATCCCGCAATTTGAAAGTTCTCTTTCTCTCACTGTCTCTACTATTTACCCTAAAAGCAAATTCGAACATAAGTCCCGTAATCATGGATGGCAAAAGCCAGTTGATTATCTTACGAAGGACTAATTCAAAGGAATCTTTCAGTTGTTGGGAATGGGGTATAGTTAAATCACATTTATTAAGAACTATAAATCATTGGTTTGATTTCTTGACAATCGTAATAGCAACAGTAACGAGTTTTAGAAATGCAACTTCATGACATGGTTGGTTATATTAGCCTACTCTGACGTTGTATCCTCTGTTCTAAAATGATTGTTTAATTTGTATTTTTATTTTATGAAAACTTAAATTGGACAACAATTTCATGACAAGAGGAAATACTAGTTTTGCGTCTATTAATTTTAACATGTCCAAAAATCATGTCACATTTTTTTTTTACCTGATTTATGCATTTGAAAATACGACATAGACCGTTTCTGCATTACTGGCAAAGAGAGAAATTTAAAATCTGACATCATTCCAACCTATCACCCTTATCATCACCAATAAAAAATGCTGCCAAGTTTCAGCAAATTCCTTGATAAACAATTTTTCACAAGCATTCAAATCTCCCAAATCATCAATCTCCAGACTGAACTCCTTCATCAATCTTCCAGTGTCCCAATTATTTTGCATGCATCAGATTGACTGATTGGAAAAGAAAAACAAAGTAAAAAAAGAAATGAATCAGCTGAAACCAGGACCCGCAAATTCAACTCCTCTTACCCCGATTGGTTTCCTAGGAAGAGCAGCCACAATCTATGGCGACTGCCCTTCTGTTGTGTACAACAGCAGGACTTACACGTGGTCGGAAACCCATGAAAGATGCCTCAGAGTAGCTTCTTCGCTTGTTTCTCTGGGAATCAAAAGAGGACAGGTGGTTTCCGTGGCGTCTCCGAATGTTCCAGCTATGTACGAAGCTCATTTTGCTGTCCCAATGGCCGGGGCTGTTCTTAATACGATCAATCTCCGTCTTGATGCCAGAATGATTTCTATCCTTCTTCATCACAGTGAGTCAAAGCTCATCCTTGTCGATTACCAATCAGCTTCTTTGGTTGTTGAAGCATTATCGTTGTTTCCACCGAATTCTCAATTGCCCCGGTTAGTGCTCATCACCGACGACGGCGATTCATCGTCGATTCCATCAAATTTTTACTGCTCGTATGAAGCTCTGGTGGAAACAGGGGACCCCTGTTTCAAATGGGTTCGTCCGGAATCCGATTTCGATTCGATTTCATTGAATTACACCTCGGGAACAACCTCATCGCCAAAAGGGGTGGTCCACTGTCACAGAGGGATATTCACAATCACTGTTGATTCCTTAATTGAATGGTCGGTACCAAAAGAGCCGGTCTATTTATGGACACTTCCGATGTTCCACGCCAATGGATGGAGCTTCCCTTGGGGTATGGCTGCTGTCGGCGGTACCAATATTTGCCTCCGGAAATTCGATGCGGCCATTGTTTATTCCGCCATCCGCAAGTACAAGGTTACCCATATGTGCGGAGCACCGGTTGTGCTGAACATGATCTCAAGTTTTCCCCGGAATGAACCTCTTCAGTACCCTGTTCGTATCTTAACAGCCGGAGCTCCTCCTCCGGCGCCGATCCTTTTCAGGACGGAATCACTGGGATTTGTTGTCAGTCATGGATATGGATTGACGGAAACTGCGGGGCTGGTGGTTTGTTGTACTTGGAAGAACAATTGGAATAAGCTGCCTGCGACGGAGAGGGCGAGGCAGAAGTCGAGACAAGGGGTGGGGAGTATTGGGATGGCGGAGGTGGATGTGGTTGAGCCCGAGACCGGAGTGAGTGTGAAAAGGGATGGTAAAACTCTTGGTGAGGTTGTGCTTAAAGGGACTTGTGTAATGCTTGGTTATCTCAAAGATCCTGAAGGAACTGCAAAATGTATGAAAAATGGTTGGTTTTATACTGGTGATGTTGCAGTGATGCATCCGGATGGGTACTTGGAGATTAAGGACAGGTCAAAGGATGTGATCATCAGCGGTGGGGAAAATCTGAGCAGTGTGGAGGTGGAATCGGTGCTGTACACGCATCCGGCGGTGAATGAGGCGGCGGTGGTGGCGCGGCCCGACGAGTTTTGGGGAGAGACTCCTTGTGCATTTGTGAGCTTGAAGGTTGATGCAAAGGGGAAGACTGAAGAGAAGGATGTGATTGATTTCTGCAGGGGTAAACTGCCCAAATACATGGTGCCTAAAACGGTGGTGATCAAGGATGAACTTCCCAAGACTTCCACCGGGAAAATTCAGAAGTATTTGCTTAGAGAAATGGCCAAGAACCTTGGTCCTTCAAAAGTCATCAGATAGTAGACATGTTGAAAACTAAGAGACGAATGACTTGAATTATGATGCGTTTGTTCTCCAGCCATTGCTACATGTTTACTTGCATTCATCTGTATTTTTTTTTTCTTAACCTACAAAAATTCCCCATAAATGAAATAAAACATTATGACCCGTTTCATTCAAAGACGAATTTTGAGAAGAGAAAACAGAGATTCGAACCCTGGTGGGACCAGAGATAATTGTATCGCCACGTATAAATATGATCTAAATCATTCTTGTCTTTATATTTTTGATTGATTAAAGATGCAAAGAAAACAATTGAGTTTTGATTTGGGAGGGAGGATGATTGGCGATGAGTGATAACGATGATGATGATGATGGCGGTAAAAAACTTGTTGTAGGAGCAGAACATCTATAATCTATAATCTATCTATAATCTAATCTTCTATCACCCTCATTATAACAAAAACCATTTTTATCCTAAAATTCCACTTGTCAATTTTTCCTTCAAACTATCCACTTGTAAATTTCTCAATATTTATCCGACTAAAATGTCCAAATGGTACCTTACATTTGGGCCTACTTGAATTTACATCCCTTACATTAATATTTCAATATCGTAGTCCCAAACATTATGTTTTCACACTTTTTTGGTCCCATTTCACTATTTCCGGCTGTTGACATGCCGGAATCAGGGGTATTTTTGTCTTTTAATTTAATTTAAATTTTAATAAAAATTTAAATCATTAAAAATATTTTAAAATTCAGATTTCATTATTTATTAATTAAAAATATTATTATAAAATTTTAAAATTTACATTATTTTGAAAATTAATTTTTTCGTTATCATTTATCTTAGGTCAAAGTAAATAGTAATTATATTGCGCTTTTAACCTTGGACCCACTGTAACTTAAAAAATTTATCGAGTTACAGTAAATAATTCAAAATTTAATTTCTTAAAAAAAAAAAAGCCAAACCATTTTTTTACTCTGACCGCTATAGTAATCCCTAAATGGTAATTATGTTGCACTTTTAACCTTGGACCCACTATAACTTAAAAAATTTATCGAGTTACAGTAAATAATTCAAAATTTATTTTTTTAAAAAAAAAGAAAGGAAAAAGCAAAACCAAGATTTTTTTTTTTACTTTGACTGCTACAGTTAAATTTTAAATTATTTATTATAACTCGGCAAATAATTTTAAGTTACATTGGGTCAAAGGTTAAAAGTGCAACATAAAGGTTTACTGTAGCGGTCAATTACTTTGTTTTGCTTTTTATTTTTTATTTTTTTAAAATTAAATTTTAAATTATTTACTGTAACTCGATAAATTTTTTAAGTTATTGTAGGTCCAACGTTAAAAAAGTAACGTAGCGGTTAGAGTAAAAAAATTTTGAACTATTTACTGTAACTCGGTATATTTTTTAAGTTACAGTGGGTACAAGATTAAAAGTGTAACATGATTACCATTTAGGGTTTACTGTACCGGTCAGAGTAAAAAAAATCTTAGTTTGCTTTTTATTTTCTTTTTTTTTAAAAAAAAGTAATTGAATTTTGAATTATTTACTGTAACTTGGTTAATTTTTTAAGTTACAGTGGGCCCAAAATTAAAAGTGCAACATAATTACTATTTACTGTGTACTTAAAGTAAATAGTAAATAAAAAAATAATTTTGAAAATAATGATAAATTTTAAAATTGTACAATAATATTTTTAATTAATAAATAATATTTTAACAATTAAATAATGAAATTTGAATTTTAAAATATTTTTTAATGATTTAAATTTTAATAAAAATTTAAATTAAATTAAAAGACAAAAATACCCCTGACTAGGGCATGTCAACGGCCGGAAACAGTAAAATGGGACCAAAAAAATGTGAAAACATAATGTTTGGGACTAGGATATTGAAATGTTAATGTAAGGGACGTAAATTCAAGTAGGCCCAAATGTAAGGGACTATTTGGATATTTTAGTCATATTTATCCTTAATCTATATACAATCCCTCATTATAACAAGGGAAAATTTTTAAAAAGGGCATGGGAAAGATCAAAATTATTCTCAAGGGCGTCAACCTTTTTTAATTTTTCAGCATGAATATTAAAATAACTTTTCAATTTTTTAAAATTAAAAAAGACGTGTTTGCCCTTTTCCTAATATATTACATTAACTCTTTACTTTTTCCCCCTTCTTTTTCTCCCTCCTCTTCTTTTCCCCGTAACCAATCTCCTCCATCGCTCAATGCCGCTGTCTGGTATTACTCTAGCCCTTTCTTTTTTTTGCTTTACATTCGTGATTTAATTTATGAGATGTGACGTTCATGATTTGGGTTATAAGATGTCATTGATTGAAGCAAGTTTGTATAGTTTATAAATGAAGTACTACTGCTCTAATTCGATGTCATTCATACTCATGATGGACATGAAATTTTTTTTATTCAGGATGGAGAAAATCATCTTTTGTTTTTTTCATTGGGGTGGTGAAAATGTTTTGACAGCCGATGGATCCATATTTGTTCAAGGAGGTGTTAACGATTCAATCCATGTGCATAGTGGCATGTCTTTTGAGGAGTTCAAATCATTGGTTTTTGATCGGTTGAATATAAATTCTGACGGCAAATCATTATATTTTACAGTGAAATATGACCCAAAACAATTTATTCTTTTGAAAGATGATCTTGGGATGCAAACAATGTTATCTTGCAATGATGAATATGCGTATATCTATGCATCACAATCTGAATTAAGCATAGTACTGTCATCTCGTGCTAGTACTAAAAGGTATTTGGTATGCAAAATTTTTTGTTTATATTTTAAGTTTATTATTTGTTTAAATATGGTGTAAATAAGGATCAGTTGTGTACAGGTTTCTTCTTGACAAGAATTCTGGTTTACCAAGCAGTAGTTGCTCCAATCATGGTTTACCAAGCAGTAGTTGCTCCAATCAAGCGGCAGTAGATTCTTCAGTAAGTGGAGGCTCTCAATTATTCATTGGTGGAAAATGGAAGGATATTATTACAGGTATAGATCAGACATTTGAAGATGCTAAAGCATTTCGAGATGCAATGTATAAATTTTCCATTGCCCATCAGTTTCCTTACACTTATAGACACAATAAACCAAAGTTTTTGAAGATTTATTGTGATGTTAAGGGATGTGATTGGAAGATTACTGCATCAGCAGATGAAGGTACAAAGAATGCGTCAATAACGAAATTTCAAAATGTGCATACTCATTCAGTTGGTGATATGGTTAGCTTTAAACCCCAAGTATCAATCAAATTCAGTGGGTAGTGTGATGATTGATAAATTGTTCAATACTCCCACCTATTTGCCTCGGCAGATATGCAAGGACGCAATGGATGAGTACCAAATGTCATTGACTTATCATCAGGCATGGAATACAAAAGAAAAGGCATTGAAAATTTTAAATGGTGATGTTGAAGATTCTTACAAGCTGATCCTGAGGTATTGCAAACGGTTAATGGAGGTTATGCCTGACACAGTTGCCGTATGGTCAAGATATGATGACGGTTCCTTCAAACAACTTTTTGTCTCGTATGGATGCTCAATACATGGATTTCATTCTGGGTGTAGACCTATTATGTTTATTGATAGATGCCACCTCAGTGGTCCTTACAAAGGGACTTTATTGGCTGCTTCAGGTATTGATGCAAATAATGGTATGTATCCTTTAGCATATGGTGTAGTTACATCAGAAAATGAAGAGGATTGGTTATGGTTTTTGCAGCATTTGAAGCATGTCATTAAGGACAGAGATATTGCCATCATCTCAGATAGAAATCTAGCTATACTCAAGAGTATGGATTTTTTGTTTGGGTCAGATAATCATGCACATTGTTATCGGCATTTGCAAGAGAATTTCAGCTCATTCATTAATAAAAATGCTTTATTCCGCTTGAATAGTGCCAAGAAGCAGAGAGCTCATCAAATCCTTCATGAGATTGCTTATGCTCGGACCATGGATGCATATGAAATGGCACTAAACAAGATGTCTGATTTTCAGCAGCAGCTTTATGATTGGGTGAATGATAATAAACCTGAGCACTGGAGCAATGCTTTATTTCCAAAACAACGATGGGATTGGTTAAATAGTAATATAGCTGAAAGTTTTAACGCTTGGATTGGAGAGGCACGGTTTTAGCCAATTGGAAAAATGATGCAGGCTCATGTAGATAAGTATTCTCAATTATTGGTGAACAAGGTAAATGATCTACATTCTTGGAAGCATGGCAGTGGAAAAAGGATTGAAGAAAAATTAGCAGAAAACATTACTCGAGGCCAAGGATTCAGTGTGAAGCATCGACCTCCATTTGAATTTGAAGTTTCTGAACGTCGTAAAGGGGTTTTGGTTGTAAACATTTTGCTTCACACATGTACTTGTATGGAATGGCAGATGACTGGAATTCCATGTCCTCATGCTTGTCGTGCCATCCAGATGCAAAATGATAACATTTATGGTTGTTTTGCTGATTATTACAAGAAGGATGTTCAAGAAAATATTTATAGTGAGCTAATGCCTGGAATTCCTACTATTGATATGCCCATGCATACTGATGTACCTATTGCAAGTGGAGAAGAAGGAAGCCATGAAAGCACAACCTCTTTGTGTGGATTATTACCACCCCTATGCTCAAAAAGGCTTCCCGGAAGACGCTGTAAAAAGAGAACTGAGTCACAATTTATCAATAAGAGACCAATATGATGCTTTTGATGTCTTGGATATGGTCACAATCGTGCTTCATGTAAGGAGCTTTTGCAGCAAGCCTAGAAAGTTTTTCTTTGAAGGAAAATTCGAATAATTTTTCATTTTATGGGATAATGTTTGGAACTTTCTCAATTTTTTTTGTTAAAATGATGTTTATTCTAGAGATCTATTTATGCATATTGAAGATATTTTGTCATATCTATGCATATCTATGAGCGGTGCTTTACGTTTACTGAGCGGTGCTTCTTGAGCTTAACTCTAATCTTTTATGAGTACGAACTTGAGTTTGAGCTCAGTTGGATTAGTGTAGGACCTGAACTAAATTTGATTCTTCTCATGCTTGGATTGCAAGTTGGAAACACATGATATCCTCTCATCCGGAAAAGTATAAAAAAGTGTTATGCAAGTATTTGTAATATAGTTTGGAAACAGATATATGTATTGATATAATTGATTAACAGTATGTTTACATTCTTGAACAAAAAGAAGTGAAGTTACATCAATGTGTTGAGGATTTAAAATGCTACTTATTAAGTGATTCTCGAAGGAAAAACTCTAGATATTAAGCTGAACTAATGAAATTTTGTAGCGAAACCACCATCCTAGTATAAAATCTAGGCATTTTTCCTTTAACCCTTTCCTAATAGCCAGCTGATCTCACATTGTGAGATAAAAAAAAAAACCTTCTTCTTGTTGTCCTGACGGCAACTTGGAAAGATTTAGAGGTCCGAAAGAAAAGTGCCAAGAACCGAGCATTGCTTCTTCGAAGAACTGTACTTTGGATATGAGTAAAGTCTTTAATTCTCCTCTTCAGATCTTTCCATTAGCATACATTTGTGCTGCACTGATAAGATATACCTTTCTCACTTTTTTTGTTAGGGGCAACCTGTCTAAAACGCAAAAATTGGAGTACAGGGGAAGAAGAAAATCATCTGCAATCCCACTTCACTAAATTTAGCATTCTTCGAGAAACAGAGATTAGTGTCCTTACACATGCTTTGGTACAAAAGCCAATTACTGCAGCCTTAGAAAGTGCACTTCCATCCTGACCACAAACACTAATGGACCATTTCCAGCTTCATCGTCTGTTGCTCTAGATTAATATAGAAATAACAAAAAGATTGTTCATAACGCCATTTGAAGCTACTAATAACAGCTGCAATCTGAAAACATCCTGACGGACCTAATCACAATCCAATTTATCACAAATTAAAAAGTATTTTATGATTTCTGAACTGATCTACGAGTATAACCTTGACGTAGTGACGAGTAGTGGCTGGTACATCCTCCCAGGCTTTCCACAGATCATCTCCGCCATAGAACACATAAATACAAGAGGACCTTAGGTGGCAGGAGAAAGGAAAAAAAAAGAAGAGAGAGAGCAAATTAACATACCACTGATGAAATCCTTTTTCTCCTTAGTGTCAGAAACATGGTGCACCTGTGCAAGCCAATGCATATTGGTATTTTAGCAACAGCTGCAGCTGCCTCTGTAGACATATCGTTATGACACCTACACAAACAAATCCGGATGACGGGAGAAGAAAAAAGTGCCAAAACCACTTAACAAATTACATGCGAAAACAATGACAAAGAAAAGGAGGCATACCTACCACATTCTATGCTACTAAACATATCACCATATACAAATCTTGATCCAACTCCCATGGCATAAAATTTGAATCAGTGCAGTACCTCCTACTAGTCACATGATACAGATCAACATCACCCTATAATTCTGTCCTAAATCAAATGCGACAAGCATTCCGGGTGATTTTTTTTTGTAAACAAAAGATTTGTATTTTAAACACTCAGTCCAATCACATTAAAATTATGAAGAACCCCAAAAATTGGGATCTTTCTTCGCTGGATTGATTAACAAGGGTAACAGAAGCCCAGGAACATGGAAAAGGCAAAAGGTAAAACAGACAGAATCAATGCAACAGTGATCGGGAAAAAGAGAAAGACATAATACTCTGGTAATGAATTCTCCCAACGGCCTTCAAAGAAACCGAAGTCCCTTCCAATTTCCTGCCAAACCCAGAAACAAAAATTCTGTTAATCAAATTGCTCCCAGAAGGCCAGAAAAATCATTCTCAAGGGAAAAAAACTGAAATCAACCTGGAGCCAAGATTAGAATGAGGAAAAGAAAAAACACAAGAAACTGAACCTTTTCATAAATTGAATTCGTAGAGGCTTTAACCCAGAAAAGGAATTGGTCCCCAAATAATTGACGGGATCAACTGTGGTCACGAGACATTAAACATTAAAAGCATATCGACCTAGAAAAAATATTAAAGGAATTCGTTAATCAACAATGGATTTAAAAAACAATCGGAGGAATCTCTCCAAACAATTTTCCTTTCAAGCTGCTGGGTTCCCAAACCAATTGAAAAGAAACCAAGGGTTCCGGGTGATGTTTGTTCTTTGGAAACAAAGATTGATAACTGCAATCTCTGCTATCTCTACCGAGCATACACCTAAATTTGTGGAAAATTAACATGAAAATGCTACCTTGATTTGATGATTTCAATTTCGACGGAAGTCGTTGAATTTCCGGAGACTGCCAATCCTCTAAATTAGAGGCTCTAATTCGTTTCATGTTTTCACTATTAATCTCGATAGCTGAAAAGCTAAAATCTAGAAGGAGAAAACCACAAAAGATGAATTGGATCAATATAGTTGGATTGAAGAATTACTGAAGCTCCCAATGGAGAAGAGGACGAACAAAGTGTCGGTTATTGTTTGGTAAAAGGGTATTATAGTTTTTTAAATTGTCATAAAACATTAATGGTAATTAAGAAATTTACAAAAAGAATAAAAACTACTAAGGGAAAATGGGTCTTTTCATCCCAAGGTTTGGGCCATACCATTCAAAATATTCCAAAGTTTAAGAGCATGTTATTTTCATCCCAAACTTTTCCAAAACATGCAATATTAGGATTTCCGTTAAAATTTTTAAGTTAATTAACGGCATACTTCACTCCGTTTTCTTCCCCCAATTTTTTTTTTCTTTTGTCAAAAAATTCCATTCTTGGGCTTAATCAATTTGGCGCGAGTTTATGGCGCTAAAAAAATAAAAAGGGAGGAAATCGTTTCAAAGAGATGAATCATATATTGAGAAATTGAGAAATTATTACTGAGATCTAATTTCGAAACATCTGATGTGGGAGATACGTGCGAAAGAGCTAAATAATGAAGGCATTCGTACCTATGGTTAGTTTCTCGACTACCCATTGTTTCTTTTTTGATGACGATTGTTAATTTTTAGATTTGGAGCAAAAGGACAGAAAAGCTTCTTTAGGTTTGTTTGTTTGTTAGTAAAAGGGGAGTATAGAATGTTGTTTAGTTTTTTGCATCATTTGACTAAAAATAGTGGATAAAATGTTTGTTTTAGGAAAAAGGAATTCCGTTCTAAGTGTCTAAAAGATGGGTCTTTTGTAGGGCAAAATAAGTGGTGGGTTCAATTAAATATTCATGGTTGTTCAATCAAAGAATCACTAATGTGGTCCTGATTAGTGATCATCTTTATTATCGTTGATTGTTATATAAGCATGGTACTTACATTTCAGGTCCAGGAAACAAGAATTTAGGAAGTATTAAAATCCAGTATGGGGGTCAGCTTATATCAACTCCAACCCCAACATATTACGGTGGTGACTTTTCTATGGTTGATAAGGTAAGGTTGACAACCATCATTCTTATGGATGTATATTGCATGGTTGAGCGGTTAGGGATGCGTGGAATGGTCCATTTGTATCATGTAAGTAATGAAGATGAAATACAAAAGATAGAAGATGATAGAAACCTTCGAAGCTTATGTTTGAATTCCTTAAAAAGAGATAGATTAGTGGTCTTATATGCTTTGGACGATGCAGATGAAACTAATTTCAGAGGTGTTGGGTACGAAAGTGATAAACAGGTGAGTATAAAAGTGATGATTCAGAATGTAGCATTGGAGATTGGAGCGAAAAGGATTCTGAATATGATGAGGCTGATGATGATAAATATTATGTGGATTTTGTGGCCAGTTTATCAAAATCAAAGGCAGTTGAGCCATATATTGGTAGTGGAGAAGGTCTGAAAAATGGAAAAATGAATGACAACAGTTGTGGTGTATGTATAAAACACGGAAAAGACAAGGAGAAGGATAAACTTGAGATTGTTTATACAGGGGCTGGGGAGCAAGAGACTCATAGTGATGGAGAAGGTGAAGTGGTACCAGATTCTGAAGATGACTTTGCTAGTTTACATGGGTCAGATGAGGATAATGAAGATGTTCTTCCAACTTTAGATCCTGCTAAGGAGTTGTTCAACCCAAACCTATATTGTGGTTTATACTTAAATAGTTTGGAAGAGGCTAAAATTGTCATAAGGAGCTGGAATATTGCTCGGGCCAGACCTTGGAGATTTGAGAAAATGGATGATAGAAGGGTTAGTGCTTTTTGTCCTGAACCTGAGTGTCCTTGGCTTATCTATGTGACCAAAAGCACAACAGATCATTCAGTTAGGATAACTAAATTTGTTACCAAACACACTTGTGAGATATTGCGCAACAATCCCAAGATAACATCAGGATGGGTGGGTCTAAGGTGTGTTGATATTTTGAAGGAAAATCCTAATATTAAGCCAAGACATTTTAAGGAACAAGCACAGACCAAACATCATTTTTGGTTGACTGATAATCAGGCTGTGAGAGCTAGAGATGTGGCACGTAAGATTGCTTTTGGTGACCGAAAAGACCATTTTCAGAAGTTATATGATTACAGAGATGAGATTCTTCGAAGCAACCCCGGAAGCACATGTTTGCTATTTATGGAGCCAAATTTTATTCACCCAAACACAGGACAAAGTAGATTTCTGAGAATGTATATATGCTTTAATGGGGCTAGAGAAGGTTTTTTAAATGGTTGTAGAAAAATTATTGGGTTAGATGGGACATTTCTGAAAGGTCCAAATACAGGTGTTCTGCTTACAGCTGTAGGCGTTGATCCTAATAACGGAATTTATCCAATAGCATGGGCAGTAACTGAAGGAGAAAACAATGACTCATGGGAGTGGTTTTTGAACTCTCAAAAGTGATTTGAGAATTGAATTTGATTTTGAGTGGACTTTGATGAGTGATAAGCAGAAGGGTTTAATTCATGCATGTGAAAAAGTATTCCCACGAGCTGATCACAGGTTTTGTGTCAAACATCTTCATGCAAATTGGCAGCAACAAGGATTTAGAGGACATGCACTCAGAAGAGTTCTTTGGAATGCTGCGAAGTCTACTACTGAAGCTCAGTTTGATGCTAGAATGAAAGAAATGGAATTGTTGAACCCCAGAGCAGTTCAATGGTTTCATGATAAGCCTAAAAGTCAGTGGTGTAGAGCCTTTTTTAATCCTTCGCCCAATTGTGACATACTGTTGAACAACCATTGTGAGTGTTTTAATAGCAAGATCGTAGAAGCTAGAGGAAAGCCAATAGTTGATCTATTTGAGGGTGTCAAGAAATATGTCCAGCAAAGAGCATTAGAAAATAGAGAATGGGCAGCTGAGAAATGGAAGAGTAAACCGATTTGTCCTAGAATTTACAAGCGACTTCAATGTTATGAGAAGCTTGCATTTGGATGTCATCCTCGCAAAATCAACCAGTCTCTTTTTGAAGTTAATGATGATAATCAAAAATCAAGATATGCGGTTGACTTGAGAAATAAAGAATGTAGTTGTAGAAAGTGGCAATTATACGGTGTACCATGTCCACACGCAATTGCAGCTATTTGGTTGAACAACGAAACTACAATGAGCTATGTTGATCAATGCTACTCTGTAGAGACCTATTTAAGGTGCTATGATCCATGCATCTTACCAATGAATGGAGAAAGTGAATGGAAAAAATCTTCAGAGCTACCTCCTTTGCCCCCTTTGTGGCAAAGAGGACCTGGAAGACCCACAACACTTAGGAAAAAATCAAGGCAAGAGATCCTTATAGATAAAAATAACAAGCACAAACATAGCTTACCAAGGGGTGGTGGTAAGATAAAGTGCAGAAAATGTAATGTTCAGGGGCACAATGCAAGGACATGCCAAAATAAGGTTGCAGGAGAACTCAATGAAGAACATAATTTAAAGTCTGCCTCCATTGATGCTGAAACTTCAAAGATTCAAGATGATCCAAAGAGGATTGTAAGTCTCTTATATCTTCCTCTATAATTATGTGCAAATTTTAACATGTTATTCACATTTTGGTAATTTATAGGAGAAAAGGAATCACAATCAAAAGGGGATGAACTTGAAAAAACGCAAACAAAGAGCAAATGAGGAATCACATCCCAAAGAGCAAAGAAAGAAGGTAAGAGTGAAAATGCCTGATTTCAGTACCATTAACGAGCCCCCAGTTGATATGAGTAACCATATTTTAAAGTACGACTCCATTCCTGTGGAAGTTTCAAAGAATCAAGAATGCCCAACTACCACCGTAAGTGTTTCAAATTTTTGTTGTGTTAGTGTTAATTCTATGTTGATGTTTAGGCTTGTTGTGGTGTACTGATGAATGATAAATGTTAGGAGTGTTTTGCTGATGAATGATAGGTTGGTTTTCCAGGTTTTGAGCATGTCACAAGTTAAGAATACTGATGCCAAAATCCCAGAAATCATAATTAAACGGACGAGAGAGGAGTCTAGTTCAAAATTCTTTGATGAGAAGACTAGTGCTGAAAAAATGATAGCAAGTGAACTGCCAAACTCAAGGAAGACACTTAAATCTAATGCAAAGTTGTGCTCAGACTTAGATAAACATGAAGGGAGAAAAGAGACACTTCCAGATCGTTACAAACCAGACATAGGTTTGCTTTTGAAGAATGGCATGCGTGTTCCAGAGTGGATGCATCTTTTTGACTTCGTGACAGACCAAAATGATAATGCTTCTGCACCAATTCAATCTGCAGCTGTAACATCTGGACCAAAACATACTGGTGGATAGGGAAAAGGCATTGCTAAGTCCAAATAATCAATGTATTGTGATGGTTTTTGTATTATGTGTCCAAATGTTTTGTTACTTTTGGTACATTTAATGGTTTGCACAAGGATGATGTTTGGGATCAGTAACACATTTATGTTGTGAAAATGCATCAGTTTCATACTTCTTTGATTAAAACGAAGATGCAATAATTTGCAAAAATTTCTTCTATTCAATAAACACCAAAGTACATCACAAATATCAACATTGAACAACACAACCTAGCACAACTTTGCAGTATTTTGATCACCCTACGGAGAAAAATAAAATAATACATCACCAATCACCATGGTGCACTCCACTACATCACTAAACAAAATGTTTAACCACGTAGTGGACAACAATTAGATATCCTTAAAAGCATCACCGATGCTTCAATTTTGGATTTCTCTACCAAAACCACAATTATGATAACTTTGATTGCTTTCTTCAGCGGCGTTCTATCTCTGAACCAATCTCCCACATTAGATGTTTCGAAATTAGATCTCAGTAATAATTTCTCAATTTCTCAATATATGATTCATCTCTTTGAAACGATTTCCTCCCTTTTTTTTTTTAGCGCCATAAACTCGCGCCAAATTGATCAAGCCCAAGAATGGAATTTTTTGACAAAAGAAAAAAAAAATTGGGGGAAGAAAACGGAGTGAAGTATGCCGTTAATTAACTTAAAAATTTTAACGGAAATCCTAATATTGCATGTTTTGGAAAAGTTTGGGATGAAAATAACATGCTCTTAAACTTTGGAATATTTTGAATGGTATGGCCCAAACCTTGGGATGAAAAGACCTATTTTCCCAAACTACTAATGCCCTTAAGAATAATTGTGATCTTTCCCATGCCCTTTTTAAAAATTTTCCTTTATAACAAAAACCAGTAATAATAATAATAACCCCCATTATAACAAAAATCATTTTTATCCTAAAATTTCACTTGTCAATTTCTCCTTCAAAACTATCCCCTTGTAAATTTCTCAATATTTATCCTTAATCTATATACAATTCCCCATTATAACAAAAACCAGTTTTAACAAAAAAAAAAAAAACCATTTTTATCTTAAAATTCCACTTGTCAATTTCTCCTTCAAACTATCCACTTGTAAATTTCTCAATATTTATCCTTAATCTATATACAATCCCCGTTGTAACAAAAACCAGTTTTAACCAAAATTCCTAGTGTCATATTTTCTTTAAAATTTGCCTCAAATTCATACATGTAATTATTTTTCAATCCTGTTATTATATTTTTGATGAACACATTCCTTAAAAAAAAACTCCCCACTATCTTCAAAAAAATTGTTTCCGATTCCCTTCCAAAAAGTAACCTCCAAATCTTAATTTTTTGTGGAGAAGATTACCGACGTTACTGCATAATTGATCGGAAAGTTAAAAAAAAAAAAAATCGGGCGACCGGCTACTTAGAAGAGCACCAGCACAATTGATCAACGAACAAGCACATCAACAAACTATGATTCAGACAATTGCTATGCCTACCTAGAATTGTTCCTCCTGTGGTTGAAGTTTGGCTTTGCCTTTTTATTTTCCTCCAAGATAATGAATACTCTATAGTAAACCCAAAACATGGGAGAAAGCTATGATTATGTTCTTCATTTTTTTAATGAATTAATGCATCCACTCAATTCTTTCGGTTGGCCACGACTTTGATGCAAGTAGGCCTGTTCATTCGAGTCAAATTAACGGGTTTCGGGTCAACAGGTTTGGTTATTCGGATTCTCAGTTGGAAATCGGGTTAAGTCGAATTTAAGCACAATTTCATCTGACTAACAACCCGAATAACTTGTTTGGTTATTCGGTTTCCGGTCGGGTAATCGGGTAACCCGATGTAAACTGATTCTTTAGCTTAGCAAACATTTTTTTTAACAGATTAATTGCAACATTTTTTTTTCTTTTGGCCCATAATTTTAAATTTCTTTATACTCATCATCCAAGTACACTAAAAGGTACATAAAGATCCAATTACAAGAAAAATTACAATCTTCAAAATAAACATTAGAACTGCTGCTGGACAAAATTTAGATGTATCATCTTTTTTTGCTCCACAAAGAGGCGGCCTTCCGACTCCAGCTTCCTTAGCAGATGTTCTGCTGACTACTAGACAACTCCTTAATGAACAGGTTGTAGAGAGCTTATTAGTATGTACTCATAACTAAAGCTTTTGGTTCTTATAAAGGTTTCTGAGGGTCTTGTCCGAGCTTGTTTTAGAGCTTAGTAGCTACTAATAAGTGCTAGCCGAAGTACCAGGATGAGGGAATGACTTCTATAAAGCAGCCACCTGAACAGGGTAAGCTTTACTAACTTCACCATAGCAGAAAATGTGACTACAACTATGTCTTAAAGTTTTTACATGATCCACAAAACCAGAAGCAACTGATTAGAATGCAGAAAACTTTTACTGATTCACCTGGCACAGCAACACATGCTTTATCTAGCCAATGACATAAGGCTCCAACCAGGGTCAGATTCTGTTAATGCAGAAAACCAAAAGAATTTTATCAATAAATGCCTTTGTAGTAGGTAAAAACATGAATGGGCAGAATCATTAGTGCTTTCACAACAGATGCTTTCACAAATTCATCATTCTGAACATCAATGATCATCAAATGCACTTCAGCCGAATGATAACTTATATTAAGATGGAGTAGTTAGTTGCTAAGTGTTATTAGCAAAAAGCTTTACCAAGTGTAATTCTTTAGCTTCAAGCAAGTCCTAACTACCCTCGATCCAATTTCTGATGACACTCAAAGTCAAAACTTTCATGACAATTGTCGTAGATGTTGTACACTGGAAATTTTCTATTTCGAAACCTTCAACGCCAATCCTATCAAGCCACTCCGCAACAATTGACAGAAAATTGGTGAATTGAGGAATTATTCAGCAACAACTGAAATGAATCCCTCTGTCAAGAAGGAGTACTGATGGCCAACAACTTTGCAAAGAGTATAAAATATCATATGGTGATGATGTGTGGTAATATATTTAGAAGCAACCTCTACTTTTTTGTTTATACTTTTGTTTTTTTTCCTTTCTGTTGTTGAAATCCGTCAAAGTGGCTTATTATCAATTTCATTGTTGGGAAGAACATGCTAATGTTCTCTCAAGAATACACACAAGGTAAGCTTCATATTTGATGGGTTCATGTTTCTAAAATGATTGTCAAGTAATCAGAGCTCAAACATTTATGAAAACTTATGCAAAAAAATAGATGTTTTAAGTTGTAAACGTTGATTTCAGGGGAAAAAAAACAAATTTAATGGTAGAGCGGTGGTTTATGGCCTATTTTTGTTACTTCCGCATAAATGTGGTTTTTCTTTCCGTGACACATGCATTTTCGGGGAAAAAAAGTAAAAAAAAAAAAAATGAACTTTATCATTAGAATGGCATGCACTGACCAATAACTTGGAATGATGAATTAGGCCCTAATCAAGGTGTTAATTTTGTGTCATTTCCAATTTGTTGTCATAACTTATAAAGCCAAACCACTTTTCCTATATTACAGTCATATTTGCAGATTGGGAAGACACCCCTCCAGAAAAGGAAATCAATAAACGTCCAGAGCGAAAGCTTAGATTCTTCTCAAAAAAGAAGAAAACAAAAAAGAAGAAATCCTTGGATTGCATAGGCCTACTACAATTCGGTTCATATTTTCTTTCTTAGGTTTTTTTTTTTTTTTTGAGGTTTATGTCAAAATATTCTTCTTCTTTTTCTTTAATCGAACCTCCAAAAATGATTTCTGTTAGCTTACTGTTTGTTTGTAAGTTTGTTATTTTTGTTTCATTGTCTTTTATGATTGGTACTCAAGCCTGTTATATGATTTTATCAAAGTTGCATTTTAGTCTACGGTTTACTACAGCAAGCCAACAGTCTTTTTACATTTAAGAATCTTGACTCTTGATACCATAGATGACCACAATTCTTAAGTATTTGAGCAATCAAATCTCATTCTTAACCCATCCCGAGACTAGAAAACTCTTATCGTGGGATCAATTAGCTATTGCGAACCATTCGTGCGAAGGATCTAAGAAGCATGCAATCTCCGGATGCCTGATAGCGAAATATGCTTAAAACCATAAAACAAATCTCAAAACAGTTGGGTTATCGGCGGTGTGCCAGTGAAACCTAAAATCGAATGATGTTCCCTTCCCCTAGTCCTGCCTAAACCACATTCAAACTGCAATCTTTAGTGACTGGCTTAGTACCAGCAAGAGGAAATGCAAAGGATTTAGAGGCATGAAATTTCAGTACATGAATAATGGATGTAAAATGTCAAAGAAAAAGAAACCTAAAACACCAGGCAATTAAAGATTGCAAAGTTGCCCCCTTTTTAAATTGAAGGGCACATAGGGAGAGGTTTCATAAGTAGTTTTCTACAATCACCAAATTTTTCATTCTGTTGGACCATACACAGACCAATACTGAAATCTTAGAGCATTTGCCTTGAATTTGTGGTTGTAAGCCAAATTCACATTGAAATGCAAGAGTGAATGATAGGCAAAGCTCATCAAAATAGAGAGTCAAATGCAAACTGTCCAATTCAAACTGAAGTGTTCGAAAAATCACAGTTCCTTACTAGATGCTTGCTCTAAGTACGCCACAGCTTCCTCTTCAGAAAGCTGGTTTCCTTCAGTCAATCCCTTAAACAAGGTATTGAAATAGGCTTTGCTTGGAGGGCATACAGGAAACTTCCCAGATTTGAAGCTCTCCTCATCGGACAAGGTGCAACTGAACAATAAACAAATATGCAAGTGCCAAATAAGTTTTAACACCTGAATCTGAACAGATGGCAAAAGTTGTGTGAAAGAAAAGGGGATATCCTTACGTCATTGTTAGAATTGGAATGCCATCCTCTTTCCCCAAGTAAAGAACATTGTGGTACCATCCGCTCTGTAATATCCAGTAACATCACAACCAAATGAAATTCAGCATCTCATTGTTTGATAAATGTAAGTT